AGCCCTTCTCCTAGATAAAGTACAGGTGTCCCCCCCTCCCCGACCCCCCACCCCCCGCGGATCATCCCAGGTGGTCTCACCCACTTTGGGAAACCCTGGGTCAGAGCACGTATTGCAGGATCGCAACGTTTCCCTTTGCACCCTGGCATTGCTCTCTACTAGCTGTGTGATCTTCGGCAGATCACTGACTTTCTCCAAGCCTCAGTTTTCCCACGTGATAGGATGGGTACGCATCTATTTGGTTGTTGTCAGAATTAAAAGCACCTGAAACAGTATCCAGAACACCTTCATGGCACGGTGGGCTAAGCAATGGAGCACTCACTGGTAGGTTGTAGTTCAAAGCCACCAGCCACACCACAGGAGAAAGAGGAGGCTGTTTGCACCCACAAAGATTCCATCTTGGAAACCCACAGCGGCAGCAGTTCTGCTCTGTCCTATAGTCGCTAGGAGTCAGAATTGACCCGCTGGCAGTGGCTTGGTCTTGGTGTACGACGGTCTCCGACGTGAACAATGAAAGCTATTGCTGCTAGAATCTTACTGTTGGTGGCACTGTCCAGTTCTTCCGATCACCCTCCAGTCCTCACAGCTGTTCCTGGGCTGGAGCCCATGGTTCCAGCCCCGGTGTCAGTCCCTCTCGTGGAGGGCCTTGCTCTCTTTCCCTGCCCCTCTATTCCACCAAGCATGATGTCCTTCTCCAGGGACGGGTCTCTCCTGAGGACACGCCCAAAGTATGTGAGACGAACCTTCTGGCTGTATTTCTTCCAAGAAAGATCTGTTTGTTCTCCTAGCAGTCCATGGCCCTTCCAAGCTTCTCCGCCAGCGTCATCATTCAAAGGCATCCGTTTTTCTTTACCTTACTTGGTCACCGCCCAACTTCCACGTGCATAGGAGGTGATTGAAGATGCCGTGGCTTGGGCCAGGCCCACCTCAGTCCTCCAAGTAGCATCCTTGCTTCTGAACACTTTAAAAACCTAAGAACTGTCACAGTAGGATGCTTGTGCTATTCATTAGGGAGCCCTGGTGGCGCAGTGGGTAAGATTGGGCTGCTAACTGCAAGGTCAGCTGGGCAGGAGAAAGACAAGCCTTCTTACGCCCGTAATGGGTTCCCATCTTAGACACCCACAGGAATAGCTCTATTCTGTCCTGAGGGGTCGCTGTGAGTTGGAATCAACATGATGACGGTGACTTTGGTGTTTTGTGTTGTTTATTGAGAACCTTTCTGCAGTTTGAAGCTCTGTAGGGGAAGCAGGAAGCCTGTGTTTCTACAGACCCAGCCAGCTCTGTGGGAAAAGTGTTACACTCACAAGCAGCCATCTTTTGTGAGTTCGAGACCCTCCTCTGCCAGGAGGACCCTTCCTCTCGTACGTGGCCCCTCCTGAGCCCCAGGTGAGCTCAGAGAAGGCTGCGGACCTTGGCCAACAGTGATCGCTTTAAGGACAGTGGTTTAGCCCACAAGTCAACACACCATCCCTTACGGCGAAAGACAGAACAGGATTCCAGCTCCGCCGTGGCTTCTTAGGCCCTCTCTGGCCCACCTGGCTCAGCCCGACCCCCGCCCTCCGCCCTCCCACAGGTGTCCGAGACCTGCGACACAGTGTTCGTGGCCGGCAAGGAGAGCCGGGGGGCACTGGGGGTTCGGGTGGACTTCTGGTGGCGCCGGCTGCGGGCCTCCCTGCGGCTGACCGTGTGGGCCCCGCTCCTGCCCCTGCGCATCGAGCTGACCGACACCACCCTGGAGCAAGTCCGTGGCTGGAGGGTCCCTGGCCCGCCTGAGGGGTGAGTGGAGGCCTTGGGGGACTTCGTGCGCAGCCGTGGACCTCACGTGGGCTTGACCCATCCCCCAGTTGCCTGAAGCTCCTTCTCGCCTACCCCTGCCCCTCACCACCCAGCCTCTGACCAGTCTTGGAAACTGCCAACCTCCAAGCTCTCTTTTGCCATCCGGCGGTTCTACGTGCACCATCCCCCGCGCCCACCACCACTAGCCAAGGCTTTTTTTCTTTTCTGTTCACTGGTCCCGGGGTGGTGGAAATGGGCATGGACTGGACTGCGTGCCTACAGTTGATTCGGACCCAGCCCCATGGTGCAGCAGCAGAAATGCCTGGCAATCTGCCTTCTTAGAGATGGCAGCCCGCTGTGGCACAGTTCGGTGCTGTCCTAGCGGGGTGGCCATGTGTCGGAATGGACTACACAGCACTGGTTTGGGCTTGCAGTATGCTGCCCACCACTAGATCCCCAATATCCAAGGAGCTACCTTGTGGGGCTGATGTTGAATGAACCTGTGGCTCTCAGAGCAGAAGGGGCGGGTCAAGCCATCCATCCCCAGGTACCCTTTATGAGTGTCGGTGGTCTCCATAGGAGCCGGAGGAGGGCATCAGCACCTCCAGGTGCACAGGGCTGACCCTGCTAGGTGTGCCTGGTTGAAGGACGAGAGTCCAGAGCCTGTTGGTGGGCAGGGCGTGTGCGCTGGAGGTGTGTGTGTGTGGTGTGGGGTGGTGGCGCTCCGAGGGCTCCGGTAGTGGGCGGGGCCATGCTTACACCACACCCCTCTTAGGGTCCAGGAGCCTGAGGCTGCAGCAGGCAGTGCCACAGAAGAGGCTGAACGGCGCGCCCGAGGGTGCCGCCTACAGTACCAGCGGGCCGGCGTGCGCTTCCTCGCCCCCTTTGCGGCCCACCCGCTGGACGGCGGCCGCCGCCTCACCCACCTGCTCGGCCCGGACTGGCTACTGGACGTGTCCCACCTTGTGGCGCCCCACGCCCGAGTGCAGGACCCGCACATAGCCACGCTGGAGGGAGGCCACGTCCTGGTGGGCCGAGAGCCTGGTGTCACCTCCATCGAGGTAGGTGGGTGGGGGCGCTGGAGGGAAGCAGACTGTAGGGGGCCCCGAATGCTTGGGTATAATGAGGCAAGCAGGAGGGGCTGAGGGAGAAACATGCAGCCTAGGTTTGTGCCGAGCTGACTGGAGGTTGCATGAGAGTAGGGGATGTGGGTCCCCAGTATGTAGGGTTGGGTGAGAGCTGGTAAGGCCTGCCCCTTAGGGATGGGGCTGTAACTGAGTTACATTTAGACCCGTAGTTGGAGTATGAAGGATGGGGAGCTGGGAATGACCCCCTCCCCTCCCCACTCCCCCGCAGGTGTCTTCTCCGCTGTCTGACTCCATCCTGGGAGAGCAGGCCCTGGCTGTGACGGACGACAAGGTCTCGGTGCTGGAGCTGCGAGTGCAGCCCGTGATGGGCATATCGCTGGCCCTGAGCCGGGGCACCACCCACCCTGGGGAGGTCACAGCCACGTGCCGGGCACAGTCAGCCCTTCCTGCCCCCAAGCAGGTGATGGCTGGGGGTCAGGGGGAGGAGGACGACATGTCCCGTTGGAGGGTGAGGACAGAAGGGGTTGGGGGGGGAAGGGAGGATCCCTAGAGTTTTCCAAATGAGGACTTAGTTGCCTGTGCAGTCGTGAGCTCTCCATGGCCGGAGGTAATCAAGCTGGCTGGCTGGAGCGTGGCAGTGGGAGGCCGACTAGATGGCTCTCCGTGGTTGACGCCAGTCCTCTCTCTCCCTGTGTTGTGTTCACCTGCCCATCTCTCTGTTTCCCCTCCGGTCTGCTGCGTGTGGCCTGTCTCTGTGGGAGTGGTCTCTCTGTGCATGCGTGCGTGCCCTTGCGTGTCTCTGCCTGTGTCCGTGTGTCCCACAGGAAGTGGCCCTCTCCCTCTGGCTGTCCTTCTCGGACCACACGCTGGCCCCCGCCGAGCTGTACGACCGCCGTGACCTGGGACTGTCCATCTCGGCTGAGGAGCCCAGCGCCATCTTGCCGGCCGAGGAGCGGGGTGCCCAGCTCGGGGTGGTGGTGAGTGGGGCGGGCGCTGAGGGGCTGCCCCTGCATGTGGCTCTGCACCCAGCCGAGCCCTGCCGCCGTGGCCGCCACCGAGTGCCCCTGGCCTCTGGTACTGCCTGGCTGGGGCCCCCTCCAGCCCCCACCCCAGCCGCTGCCCTCCCATCCAGCCCCGCCTGGAACCCAGTGGCCACAGAGGCCAGCCTGGGTGGTAGACAGCGAGCATTGGGTGGTGGGGAGGACAGCAGGGGAGTGAGGGGCAAGTTTGAGCGGGCAGAGGAGGAGGCTGAGGCCAGAGAAGAGGAGGAGGGGGAAGAAGAGGAGGAGGAGATGGTGCCCGCCCCTCAGCGGGTCACTGACCTCGAGCTGGGCATGTACGCTCTGCTGGGCATCTTCTGCCTGGCCATCCTCATCTTCCTGGTCAACGGTGTGGTCTTCGTGCTGCGTTACCAGCGCAAGGAGCCTCCGGACAGCGCTGGCGACACCGCCTCCCCGCAGCCCCACAACTGGGTCTGGCTGGGCACTGACCAGGAGGAGCTGAGCCGCCAGCTGGACCGGCGGTCCCCTGGCCTGGCCAAGGGGGAGGGGGGCTGCCCCTGTGAGAGCGGGGGCGGAGGGGAGGCCCCAGCCCCGGCCTCTGACGCCACCAGCACGCTGGCCCGGAAGGAGGCTGGCGGGCGGCGGAAGCGCGTGGAGTTTGTGACCTTTGCACCAGCGCCCCCCGCCCAATTGCCCGAGGAGCCTGTGGGCGCCCCTGCGGTGCAGTCCATCCTGGTGGCGGGCGAGGAGGACATCCGCTGGGTGTGTGAGGACATGGGGCTGAAGGACCCCGAGGAGCTGCGTACCTACATGGAAAGGATCCGAGGCAGCTCCTGACCCAGCCCCACGCCCACTGGGCAGCAAGGCTCGGCCCCAGAGCACCCCCGGCATGCCTCGCCTGCTCTGGTGCCTGTGACCCATGTCCCCTGCCTGGCCCCGCAACACAAGGACACCCATCCAGGCCCCCTGTGCCCTGTCCCTTGTCCCAGACCATGGTGTGAGGAAGGGCTCATGTCCCTTATTTATGGGAACCATTTCATTCCGTGGTGGATACAGAATAAAGCCAGAAGGGAATCGTAGTCATGTCAGTGGCTGTCTCTTGTGCCCAGCAGAGTCGGGGTGGGGGCATGGTCAGCCCCTGTCCCTGCTAGCCTGGTGTTGGGAGGTGGGGTTCTGGACCACCCGCTCATAGCGGTGAGAAATCCAGAGGAATAAGAGGGCCGTGGCAGCCTGGATCCCGGCCAGCAGGAAGAAGTAGAGGTCCATCCGGCAATTGTTGATGTTCCCTGGGGAAGGAGGGGTTGGCAATGGGGTCAGGGCAGGGGTCCACTGCCTCCCAGCCCCATGGGAAGTGGACAGGGTTTGGAGGTCCTGGGCAGATACCCTTGTAGAGCCTGGCTGCCTGGAGCATCTCTAGTGACAGCTACAGCTCCCCTTTTCCCTAGCTATTCCTGGGGGGGCGTCCTTGAAACACAGATCCAGCCAGCGTTCACTGGCTCACGCTCGGGCCACACTACATCTGCGAAGTAGGACTGCCTGTGATTCGGACACCAGTCCTGCTATTCTGTAAGCATCTCCAACAGGCTTCCTGCCTCGGCTGCGCTTGTCAATGTGCCCAGAGGAATTGACTTCTGTGCTGGGTCCTCGGTCCCCACCATGAGTCATTTCTGCACATCAGCTATAGGCCGCCCGCAGATGTTCGTCAGCCTTCTGGCTTTCTGGAGCCGATCCTTGACAGCCTGGGGAATTTCTTCTTTGTTTTTGAGGAGCGAGGCGATGGCTGAGTGCACACGCCTAAGTGGTGAGCAGTCACCAACCCCAGTTTTCCTACCTTTGTGCTGTTCAGTGAGGAGCCCTGGGAGCATAGTGGTTACAATGCAGTTGGCTGCTAACTGCAAGGTCAGCCGTTCAAAACCACCAGCTGCTCCATAGGAGAAAGGTGCTCTCTACTCCTGTAACGAGGTGCAGTCTCAGAAACCCACAGAGGCAGTTCTCCGGGGTCCTCCAGGGTCGCTGTAAGTTGTTATCGACTGGATGGCAGTGAGTGGGTTTTTCTGGGGGGGAAGCTTCTGTTTCACTTCCAAACCGATTCTTCCCCATTGTCTCCCGTTGCTGTTCTTGCCAGCACTGGTTCTACCATGTTTGGGAGCCACGCGATGCACTTGACAGTAATGTGTGCCAAGGAATCACTCACAGTGCCGGAGCACTGGATGTGCAGCACCTGAGACTGGGCGCCGCTGCCTTCGCTGCACTTTTTAGATAGGACAGCACATACAGAAGTCAGTAACAGAGGGGTCTATGATGATGATGGCGATAGCAAAGGGCCCCGGTGGCATCGTGGTTGGGTGTTGGTATGCTAACCCCAAGGTCAGCAGTTTGAATCCACCAGCTGCTCCCCAGGAGAAGGATGAAGCTTTCTACTCCTGTAAAGAGTGACAGTCTTGGAAACTCACAGGGGCCACTCTACCCTGTCCTGTAGGGTCGCTAGGAGTCAGAATGGACTCGATGGGTGTGGCGTAGTTGAGTCTCAGGGAGATACATGGTAAGCCTTGGTGGAGTCATGGGTTATGCATTACACTGCTAACTCCAAGGTCAGTAGTTCGAGCCCACGAGCCGCTCCAAGGGAGAAAGTTGAGGCTTTCTGCTCCCATAAAGATTACCGTCTTGGAAATCCAGAGGGGCAGTTCTCAGTCCTGCCAGCTCGCTCTTAGGTGGATTCGGCTTGGTGGCAGTGAGAGAACCCCCTTCACATGGGAGAATGACGAGACCATCTGCTCTCAGAAAGATCTGTTCTCAGAAACCCCCAAGGGCAGTTCTGCATGGTCCTCTCAGGTCCACTGTGAGTCAGCATCAACCCGGTGGCAGTGAGAGCGAGGGAGACCACCAGGTGTGTGTCTCACAGGCTGCACGTGTGGTAGTCTGTCCCTGGCCATGTAGCCACTCTGTGCACAAGAGGCGTGAGGCATCTGTCTTGGATGCAGGAAGCTGTAACGTTCGCCACCTCTCCTCCAGTCTGGACTTCTGAATCTATTAGAGCCTTATAGGACCATGGATGTGGCCCAAATGGACGTTATGTGATACCTGACCATGTTGCAGGGCCCAGCTGGACCCTGCAGCCACAAGGATCGCCTTTCAGAAGCAAGATGGGCCTCGGAGACCCACTGTGTTTGGGGCGCCCTCTCTGGCAGTTGGGGAGGGAGGTCAGGCTGTGGCTTAGTGGCCACGGGTGGGCTGGGATGGTGCTCTCCCAGCCCACCCCCCCACCTTGTTCTGCACTCAGCCCTGGCCACCTCCTCTCGTAGCCCCCCTCCACCCGTGTCCCCCTCCAGGGAGGCCCCACACTCACCAAAGTCCTCTGGGCAATGCAGCCAGCCCCTCGGCAGGGTCAGCAGGGCCACCAGGCCGGAGCCCAGCAGTGAGCCCACCCCGGACAAGCAGAAGAAGATGCCCATGACGGCCCCCTTCATGGCCCGGGGGGCCTCTGAGTAGGCGAACTCGAGGCCTGCAGAGAGGGAGGGGCTGAGGAGCGGGGAGACAGGCAGCTGGGTCCATCCAGTCACCCGGATCTCCATCCTGGCCTCCCTGTATGGCCATCCACTCCTGTGGCAGCGACAACGTGTGCACCAGTCACACCAAGTTGAACATCACCTGGCTGTTTGGCACGATGCCCCCAGAACACTCTGCCACCCCCCACCCACCTCCTCCAGGGTTCCCAGTTCGGTAAATGCACCACCCTGTCCCTCACCTCCTGCCCCCTGCCCACCTTCAAAGCCACCAAATCATTTTGATTCAACCTAAGATGCCCATCTGAGGGTAAGCTCTCCTCTCTGTCCCTGCTGTCCCAGACAGACCCCAGCCCTGCTCCTTTCCTGCCGGGCCCCTGTCCATCTTCCCAAAGCTGCTGCCCAGGGCTCACTCAGCCACATGGGCCTCAGGTGCGGTCCCATCCTTGTCCAAAAAAGCCGTAAGGAGGAGGGTGTCCTATTGCTCTCATGAGAAATCCCAACATCAGGCTGAACCCCTGAGCCTCATGTGAACTCCTGTGCCTCCTGGCACCCCAGCTGTGTGGGGTTTCCCTTCTCCCACCCAGCCACACTTTCCACCAGGCTTCCCACCAGCCTCGGCACACGCACGATGCCAGGCCTTGGTGTCTGTGTTGAAGTCGGGCCCCCTGCCGGTAAGCTCCTGCCTTACTTGCTGAGTTCGCCCTCCTCCAGAGCCCAGTTCAAGGGCCTTCCCACCTCCCACCAGAGGGTTACCCCAACACTCCGAGCCCTCCTGAAGCAGCTGGGTTCCTGATGGCAGGACTGTCGGCCCCCCTGGACACTGAGTGCATGCGTCAAGTCCCCACAGAGCCTGGGCCCAGGGCTGCAGTGCAGTGAGCCCGGTTCCTCTGCTGGTTGTAGAACCTGCAGCAGTTTTACCTGCAGGGTACATGCAAGCCCACCTGAAGTCTAAGACAGGGGGCAGCCACTGTGCAGACACAAAGTCGGGAGCAGGGCACTGGGCAGGGGCACGAGGAGGTGCAGAGCTGGTGCAAAGGTGTCATTGCGCCTGCACGCTCCCAGGGCACACTGCTGTGCTGGGCACACAGTGGGTGTTAACAGATGCCCGCTGCACAGAGCAGCCCAGCCCTCAAACAGCGCCTTGCTCCCTGATGACGAGCCCCCAGCGGCTGTGCCCATCCAGGCCCAGCCAATCACTGGCGGGGGAGCAGGAGGGGACCCAGGATACCTGGGATGCTGGCGAAAATCTCACTGATGCCGATGAGCAGGTACTGGGGGATCTGCCAGCCGATGGACAGTGGCGCAGCATAGTACGTGTCCTGGCCAATCTGCTGGGGCACCGTCTCATTGTGGTGGATGTACTGTAAGCGCTCCATCTCCAGGATGCCTGAAGGGGGCAGAGAGGAGGTGCTGCTGCAGCTGAGCCCACCCCATCCCGCTGAGCCCACTGCAGGACACACGCTGGGGGTGGGGTGGGGTGCAGGGACCTCATAAAGTAGCCAGTGATCGAAGGGGCAGTAGGGAAGGAAAAGAATACTGACCCGGGGAGGGGTCAGAAGTTGAGTTCTTGTACAACTGCTGTAAAAAGCAATATGGCGCCACCTCAGCTGGGAAGGGAAACCCCACACGAGACGCTGAAGAAGTACCAGCCAGGACACGGACAGACCCATACATCCCAGCACTGCTCACACAGCAAGAAGCTGGAAACAGCCCCAGTGCCCATCAGTAGAAGAAAGGGTAAAGAAACATTGGTACATGCAGACAATGGAATACTATGCATCCCCGAAAAGCAATGATGAAACACCAAGTACCTCGTTTCTGGGGAGGACCTGGAGAGCATCAGTTCTGTGAAGTCAGTCAAGCCCCAAAGGACCAATATCATATGAGAGCAGTACTATAAGGCTAAACACCAATACCAAGACCGACATGCCAAAGGAAATGGGCTTTGGAGGTTCCCAAGGGAGGGAGAGCATGGTAGGGAAGATGACAACAGACTAGGAGGTTGGCAGGTATTGACTTGGGTGAGAGGGAGATTCCTTGAAGGAGAGAAATCAGAGGAGAAGGGTGGGTTAGGAAGGAGGATGTCAGTGAGTGGTTTGAATGCAGAGCCGATGGTATGAAATGTAAATGCCCCCTCGAATTCACCATAAAACATTCTTTTATCAAAAAACCAAAGAGTTCCAATTCAACTCTTCCCCCTTTTGCTTCGGGTGCCAGGAAGCTCAGAGTTGTGTTTTGTGCTCAATGATAATGAATACACAGCCCTTTGAGAACCAGCCAGCTAGCAGTCAACTCTCGCAAATGGAATGAAGAAATGGAAAGTTCGGCCAAGCCACCAGTCCAGAGTCACGAAGCTTGGTCAGTGGTCAAGGCTGGATTTGGGCCCTGGTGTGTTCAGTTTCAAGGGAGCCCTTGTGATATAGTGGCTTTCGCATCAAGCTGCTAACCTCAAGGTCAGCAGTTCAAAACCACCAGCTGCTCTGCAGAACAAAGACTTTTCTATTCCCATACAGAATTATAATCTCAGAAACCCACAGGAGCAGTCTACCCTGTCCTTGGGTGCTCTAGGAGTCAGATGGCTGTGAGTTTGGGTTTTGGATTGGTGTCTGATCTCAAAGCTGGCCAGTGACACTGTGACACTCCATGCCTCCTCTACTGCAATGCATGGTTGGAAAGAACTTTGGGGAGGCTGAATTTAGGACAAGACCCAAAATGGAGTAGGGGCTCTCGCTGTAACTGGTAGCCTCGAAACGCTTAGAGCAGTGGTTCTCAACCTTCCTAATGCCATGGCCCTTTAATACAGTGCCTCCACTCAAGTACTCTCTCAATGCAAGAACACTTTCTTCTATGAAACTGACATTCCATGATGCATACCTTCCCAACAAGATCGCTGAAATCAAATGTGTACATAAGCAAGTGTGATGAAGAAAGTTGATGGTGCCCGGCTATCACAAGACCTGGGGTCTTAAAGGCTTGAAGGTAAACAAGCAGCCATCTAGCCCAGAAGCAACAAAACCCACATGGAAGAAGCACACCTGTCTGTGGGATCAAGAGGTATCGAAGGGATCAGGTATCAAGCATCAAAGAATAAAAAATCATCATTGTGTGCTCACCTTCCCCTACGGACACTGAAGACAAATGTGTGCATAAGCAAGTGTGGTGAAGAAGGCTGTTGGTGCCCGGCTATCGAAGGATAGGGCGCCTGGGGTCTTAAAGGCTTGAAGGTAAACAATTGTCTATGTAGCCCAGAAACAACAAAGCCCACATGGAAGAAGCACACCAGCCTGTGTGATCACGAGGTGTCGAAGGGATCAGGTATCAAGCACCAAAGAGCAAAAAAATCATATCATCCTGAATGAGGGGGAGTGTGGGGTGGGGACCCAAGGTCCATCTGTAGGCAACTGGATATCCCTTTGCAAAGGGGTCACGGGGAGGAGACGAGTCAGTCAAGGTACAGTGTAGCATCAATGAAACACACAACATTCCTCTAGTTCTTAAATGCTTCCTCCCCCCCACTATCATGATCCCAATTCTACCTGGCAAACCTGGCTAGGCCAGAGGATGTTTACTGGTGCAGAGAGGAACTGGAAACACAGGCAATCCAGGACAGATGAACCCCTCAGGACCAGTGGTGAGAGTAGCAATACTGGGAGGGTGGATGGAGGGAAGGTGGGGTAGAATGGGGGAACCGATTACATATAACCCCCTCCCTGGGGGATGGACAACAGAAAAGTGGGTGAAGGGAGACATCAGGCAGTGTAAGATATGATAAAATTATAATAATTCATAAATTTATAAATAATAATTTATAAATTATCAAGGGTTCATGAGGAAGGAGAGAATGGGGAGGGAGGGAAAAAAATAAGCTGATACCAAGGGCTCAAGCAGAAAGCAAATGTTTTGAGAATGATGAGGGCAACAAATGTACAAATGCCCTTGACACAATGAAGTGTGATAAGAGTTGTATGCGTCCCCAATAAAA